CTACTCACCCTTATCAAAGATCTGTCCTTGGTCGTCTCTTCCTGTGTTCGTTCCCTGGGTGGTCTCATTCACATCCAAAGCTTCTGCTACAGCACATCCATTAATGACGGCTGCACCTTCAACCCACATATCCAACTGCCACTGTTCACCTCTACCTGTACCCACAAACAGTCTAAACTCATTTCATATACATATGAATCCTCTTTTATTCCCAAACTGCTGTTCTACCTCCATTAACTGTTTCAGTTAAAAAAAAAAAAAAAAAAAAAGCATTACCTACCAAGCCTTTCAAGTCTGGATATAGTGGTCTCTGCCCTTTTCCTTGTATTCCTCATCAAATCAGTACCCCAGCCCTGCCATTTGACATGACAATCTCAAATAACCTCTCCCCACAGTCACAGTCCAGACCCTCATCACTTCACATGACATCCTTGCTTATAATCCAGTGGCTCTCAAAGTGTGGTCCCCTTACCAGTAGCATTAGCATCATCAACTTATGAGAAATACAAATTCTTGGGCTGCCTCTGACCTACCAAGTCAGAAACTCTAAGGTGGGGTCCAGTAATCTGTGTTTTTCAAGTTAGAGAACCACTGCTCTAGTTTGCTCTTCACTAAATATACTCTACCCACTTAACAGCCATCTTGCAAAAAACCAAATCTGATTGTTTACGCTCTGCTTAGAAGCTGTTCGTGATATTTTTGATTAGAAGGTGAAATCTAAATTTCTTAGTACAGCACAAGAGGCCCACCAGGATCTAGTTCCCGGTTACCAGTTTTCAGAAGGTAAAGCAGAGCAAATCATCTTAGTAAGAATGCACTGTTGTGTAGTGTGATTAAGGGGATGAACTGTGGAATCCTACTGCCTGAGCTTTCAATCTCCACCTCAGCACTTCACAACTAGCTGTGACTTTGGATGAGTCCCTTAACCTCATGCACTATACCTCAGTTTCATCATCTGTAAAATGAGCGTAATAATGACTTCCATATCACAAGGTTGTTGTGAAGTTAGCACAGTACCTGGTTGTCTGGACTCAGTGATTATTAGCTATTACTCTTGTTTTGGTTATTTCAAAAGGAATAGAGCCAATCTAAAGTATAGCAAGAAGAGGAGAGGACTGGAATACCTGCCCAGACTAAGGGAAGTGGTCCCCATAAAGGAGGCCCGTTTCTCTGGGCAGTTTCAGTTAGTCTAGAAGTGAACAAAAATAACCCGATTCTCATGTAAGAGCTTGAGATCTCTAGGGTTATTTTGATTGTGGGGAGGGGGTGGATCTGTAATGATTCCAGGATGTTATAGGAGAGGTAAACTCCTACCAGTGAGAGCCAGGAAAGCTAATTGTGAAGGAAACAGGAAAACTCAGAGCAAAGCAGCAAAAACAGGGTGAGTGATTTATTTCTTTGATAACAGTTAATAGAGTCCTAGTGGGCTCTATTTTCAGAAATGTTGGTTACTTTTTTTTTAAAGATTTATTTATTTTGAGAGAGGGAGAGAGAGATAGCGAGCGTGGGGGGAGGGGTAGAGGGAGACAGAGTCTTAAGCAGACTCTGTGCTGGGCGCAGAGCCCGATGGGAAGCTCGATTTCATGACCCTGAGATCACAACCTGAGCCGAAACCACGAGCCAGGCACTTAACCCACTGAGCCACCCAGGAGCCCCAGATACGTTTGTTACTTAACAGCAGAGGCATTAAGTAATGATGGGAATCCAATTCTAACCACCAAAAATTAATTATAATTTTGGGCAAATCTCTTCTCTTCTGTCTCCAATTTAATAATTTGTAATATCAGCTATGTTATGAAGCTCACCACATATATACTTATGTATTTATTGCTTAGGACAGTGTCTAGTATGGGGGAAGCACTCAATATATGGCAACTATTACTATTGGAAGTATATTATCTTTAATACAAATTAACAGAAATAGGCACCTCTGGAGATTCCTGTCTGACCAAAGCAATTGTGTATTATCATCTAATATTGGGTTATATAAAACTGAGGGATATCGTAAAGACAGATCCCAAAACAGTGTTTCTATCACTTACGGTTTATCAATTTTCACTTCAAATATGTTCGTTCTATCCAAATGTTTACACTTAGTGTCTATTAGCTGCTAGCGGGACATTAGGCTGGGTGGGGGCTGGGGTGGGTGTGGTGGGACAACTAAGATGAATAAGGCATGGTTCCTGTCCTCAAAGAGAATATAAGCTTAGAAGAAAAAGGCAAAATCCAAATAAAACATGATTAAATGCTGTATGCGACCAAAAAAACCCAAAAAACACTGTAGAGATTAAAAGTCTTTACCAAGTTGACTAATTTTTCAAAACTTCTGGACTTCTCAGTTTCTCCTCTATCTTCCTGTTAGTCTCCATCTATTTTTATGTATCCATCTTTAGTTATAGTAGGGAGTCAGTATGTATAAAAACCAGTAACAGCCACCCACTGTAACAGAAGGTAGCAGCCATTTGTTTTGTTTCTCCCTTATATTCTCAGTGCATAGCAAAAAGTGGAGCATCTTCCTCCCCTTGTCTTACACAGGGTGGCTCATTCTTGTGCTTCAGCTCTTAGTTCAGATGTCACCTACCCAGAGAGCCTTTCTCTGAGCACCCAGTCTAAAGTTTGTTCCCTCTCCCACACCCATTATTCCCTAACACATCCTACCATTACCTTCAAAGCCCTACTGTTGTGGTGAATGCTGTGATGTGCCACCTTGATCCCCTTTAAGAATGAAAGGCTTATTCCCCCAGCTCTTGGGACTGCTGAGACAGCCCTCAGTTGTCAGTCCCCTTCCAGGACTGACCTGGCTGAAAACAGCAGAGGTCTCACCGTCTTTTCAGGACAACAGCCATCCAACGACTGCCCATGTATAAAGGCCTGGCTCTTCCCTCCAACTTGGGACACCTCTGAGGGGACAAACCAACACCAGAGTTCCCTTGGGACTGCACTGCAGCTTAATTTTTTCTATCTGCCAATTCCTGCTTCCTTTATTCCTTGGTAAGATCCAAAAGAGTCCTTGCTAATAAATGTCCTGCCCACAAATCTCCTCCTTAAGAGTCCCCAACCTAGGATAATCTGGAAACATCTTGTTCATTATCAGTGTACTTGTTTATTGTGTCTTCTCCCATCACTAGAATATAAGCTTCATGTGGTCAGGGACTGTATCTGTCTTGGTCACTGCTGTATCTGCTAACTCTGCACAGTGTCACAAAATATATATATGAATATAAATATAAATTGACAAGGTTAGTGAATGACTGAAACTGCCAGAATTGAGTGCCTCTGTAACAGCAACAGTATTTGGGCATGCTCCTATTCGGGGAAAAGATGAGTATGACCCAGGAGGTTTTCATCTCAAAAGGATTTCCATCCCCATAATGTCAAAAGTCCTGTGAGTCCTGCTTCTGCTTTCACACGGTGGGCACCAGCCATGCTGTACAATAGTTCTGACGTCCAGTTCCACGTCAGAAAGTGGCCCTCACCCCCCAGACAGACACAGGCATACAGTGCCCTCTCCCTGCGAAAGAGTAACTGACGAATCACAGGTTCCAGCTAGCAGGTGGCAGCGCAGGTGAAATCGGTGCTTTCACTGGAACACCTTTTCCATCTCCTCCACGGTGTGGCCGCGCAGATGGGAGAGGGGGGAGGGTCTACACCGGGAACTGTACCCACACTACTGGAAAACCTCCTAGCCATCCACATTCCTTCCCTCAGCAAGCATCTACTGCCTAGGGCTACGTTAAGGGTAGGTCTTTAGTTTTCTAAGGAGCCAGCCTCCTCCTTGTCCCCGCCCCCAAATATCCTTCAACGAAGACACCAGTGACCTTTCTGAGAGGGGGCAGGGGGCACCAACAAGCCCGCCTCCCTTCTCTTCGGCCAGGCAGAAAGCAGGTTTTTCTACCTGAGGTTCTAGCGCTCTCACCTGCCCACCAGCCGCTGAGTCTCCCTAGGCCGCCGCCACCAGCTAGCGCCATAGGCCGAGCCGCACGCAGCCGCCGCAGCCGGTCCTGCCAACCTGCGCTCGAAGCTTGGAGACAGAGCATGCGCAGCGCTATGGTTGGCGCCGGCGCTGCTGAGAATCCGCTTTTCCGGGTTTTAGTGAGGTTCTCAGTCCGGAAAGGCTTTGCCGGAGACCCGTAAGAGCCGGGGGCGGAGCTTATTCAGCCTCAGTCTCAGCAAATGAGTTGAAACTGAAGAATTTAAATAACATCAAACGGACGTGTTAGGGCACAGTATCTGCCTTATGGCCCGCGCTTAAGAGCTATTATTGAATGAATGACAAGGTAGTCAACGGTTCCCCACAACACGCGGGCCTCCCAGATTTGACCAATCACAAGGCGCCTGATTTGTTGTTTGGCGCCAGTTCCCCGCCCTCTTTTACGTCTGCCTCCAAAACCAGGAAAAAAGGAATGGCTCACCCCAACGTCCCTGGATCGGGTTGGAAAGTGGACATGCTCAGTGAGAGCTGGTCCTGGTCGCTTTCAGAGGTTTTACCCACAGTCTTTCCGATGGGGGCATTTGGGAAGGTCGGGAGTCCTCCAACTCTTTAGCTTCACAAAGTGGGTAATTTTGGCACTATCTCTCCATCCTGCTTCTTAGTTCGAGGACAAAATTTTTATTTTTCTGTAGCATTCAGAAGAATTATAAAGGAAGTTATATGTATCGCTATTTCAAAGTTTATCCAGCATTGTGAGAGCCACCTTTGCTTTCCGACTTTTTTATAACCTGATTCTTGCGCTAGTAATTTTCCGGTATCAAGGTGCTCTGCACCACAGAAACGTTGGGTTTTAGTTTTCTTTTCTCTCGATCGCCTCCGTCGTCTAGCACTATGGGTAACCGTGATTCGTTACCTGCCAATCATATTCGCGGCGTTCCTAGCGTCTGAATGGCCGCCTTGTCGCCATTTTTGTTTTGGGCCCTCCTTGAAAAATGGGCGGAGGTCATTTTTCTTTGGGGTAGATTTCTTGCGCTGTGCCGGCCCTTCACTCAGTGTTTCCCCGCCATCTTAAGTTCTGGTTTTGGCTTCAAGCCGACGGTGAGGCCGCTCAGATCATTTTGTGTTTGGGCGGCGGCAGCGTTTTCCCAACGCACGGGGAGACCCTGGGAAAGGGGAAGTAAGGTCGAAGCTTGAATCCCCAAAGCATCTGAAGGTGGGCTTGAGAGCCTGCTGTCTGTTTAGTCTGAGTCTCCTCAGCCAAGTACTACTCCACCAGTGACCGTGGACAGTAAAAAACTAATAAAAGCCCGAACCCAAACCCTGCCACCATCATAGGTAAGAACGTGGAACTCCTGACAGCCTAAGATGTTCCTTCACTTGAACTGAACTATTTGCCCATCTCTTTCCCAACCCCCCTTGGGTTTTTTTCTTTTGTTTTTTTTTTTTAGCCTTTTCTGAATTCTTTTCCCCGTGCTTCCACCTTTTTTCATTGTTTTCAAAGTTGTAAAGAGTTGTTAACATAAGCCTGTGGGAAACGGCGTAAAAGTGGAAAGTATTGGTCTGGAGAATTTTTTGTTTTGGGGGAAAATGGAGTACAATGAATGGGCCAGGTATTTGCATCAAACTGTGGCTGCCCACAACCATTAATACACAGTCTCCTCTCAGACATTTTTAGGTTATGAGGTAGTATGGATTGTGTTGGTATATACTGCCTGGTCACTCATTTATTCATTGCATTTATTTTTAAAGATTTTATTTATTTATTTGACAGAAAGAGACACAGCGAGAGAGGGAACACAAGCAGGGGGAGTGGGAGAGAGAAAAGCAGGCTTCCTGCTGAGCAGGGAGCAAGATGAGGGGCTCAATCCCAGCCCCCCCCCCCGCCCCCCATCATGGCCTGAGCCAAGGCAGAGGCTTCACCGATTGGGCTGCCCAGTCGCCCCTATTCATTGCATTTATTGAGTACCTAATGTATGCTAACCCGTAAGGATTCTGCAGTAAACCAAACCAAAACAAACAAACAAAAAAACAACCCCTTACTTTCTTGGAGTTTACATTCTGTCTGACCTCAACAGCTACTAGTTTGGGGCAGGTAACAGTATTCTGTGGTTCTTAGCACTGTTGGATTATGACAAGTATCTCCTTGCTTCTTCCTTGATCTCCTCACCTTCCTTTTTTTTTTTTTCCCCTGTACTAGGAAGAAGTTGTATTGAGACTTATTTCTTGGGTCCTAGATGCCACCATATTTGTAGGCCAGGTGGCTAATTTTATGACCAATATTCAAGTTACTTAGGTCGCTCAGAGTGCCGTCTACTGACCAGCATCACCTGGAAGCTTCTTAGAAACTTTAGTCTCAGATCCCATCTCAAGATCCACTGAATCAGGATCTTTTCTAGGGAGTACACCTTAAAATTCAAGGAGCATTAATTCAGGACCTGAACTAAAGATACAGAATGCCTATTTTCAACCTGTGTTTCTTAAACAGTTCACAATATATTGTCAGTTTATTCCCTGTTTTACATGCGGTGGGCATATGACATGTTTTCCTGGGCTTTTTTTTTTTTTTTCTTTTGTTTATTTATTTTTTTAAGAGACAGTGGGAGGGAGGGGCAGACGGAGAGATTGATCCCCAAGTCGGGCTCCACTGCTATGGAGCCTGAGATCATGACCTGAGCTGAAACCGAGAGTCTGTCACTTAACTGAGTGAGCCACCCAGGTGCCCCTTTCTTGTGCTTTTTATCCATCAACTTGATGTCAAGATAACAATTTAGTGTTCTAAAAAATTGAGAATTTGTCAGTCTGGTATATTATTATATAACTGTTGTCACAGCAACACCTGTGTGCATATTTTCCCTCTGTGCAAATTTTTACTTTTAATTTATTACAAGTTGAATTCAAAAGCCTACATGTGTTCAGCAGTTCAATATTGACTTGGAAAACCTTGGGCCGTGCTTTACCAAAGTTTTTTCTGACATCTTGCTCTCCTCTGTCTTCCTCTAGTGAGAAATCTAATCATTTAAAAAAAAATATTCCAGGCCAGTATCTGCTGAGTTTTAGACCCTGTGGATGGAATTTAGGAACCAGTAAGGTGTTTGAGAGAACAGCAAATTACTTTTCTGTTTTTCACATGCTGTGTTTAGATTTTTTAAATCCCAGACAGATTTACTTAAAATAATTAGGAATTTGAAAGCATTGGAGAGAACTGGACTGGAAATGTAGTGAACCAGCTTCCCAGGAACCAGTCAGCTTGCCATTTATTTATTCTATGTGCTCAGTAAGTTGTCCAGCTTTTCTTGTTGTCCTTTTTCCACCTAATAATTTGGAAAAGAATGAAGGTTGTGTTGTTTTTTTGTTTAGCCTCATGTGAGTTTTTCAAAATGCAGCAAATACTGAAGTTTTGTGTAAGTATAATATGTATTGCTTTTGATTTTCACATACTGTATCTTGTATTGTGTGTGCCAGTAGAACACAGTGGGTAAGGAAGGAAACTTCAGAGCCATATTCCCTGGGTTCAAATCCTAGCTCCTCCACATACTAGCTGTGTGACCTTGAACAGATTACTTAACTCTCTGCTTCCATCTTTTCATCTGTAAAATAGGGTTGATATGAGGGTTAAATAAGTTAATAAAAGAAAAGTGCTTAAAACAATGCCTGGCGCTTGATCACAGCTATGTATATATTAATCGTTGTTTTTTGTTATAATTAAATCTTTGGGTTATTAGTTTTGTTCCTGAAAATCAGTAAGGGAAAAGGTATTACAGTTCCATGACTTTGGGACATGTACCTGTTGGGAAGAGAGGCAGGTGGTCTAAATGTACTAGGAAGACAGATTTTTTTTAAATGGTCTTTTTCTTTTTAAATAGCCTTATTGAGGAATATAGACATATCTTGCTTTATTGTGCTTTGCAGATTTTTTTTTTTTTTTTTTACATATTGAAGGTTCAGGGCAATCCTGTGCTGAGCAAGTCTTTTGTTGCCATTTTCTAACAGCATTTGCTTGCTTCATGTCTCTGTGTTACATTTTGGTAATTCTCACAGTATTTCAAACTTTTTCATTGTATTTGTTATGGTGCTCTGTGATCAGTGATTACAGCTTGCTGAAAGCTCAGGGGAAGGTTAACACTTTTTAGCAATAAGGTTTTTTTTTTTTTTAAACTTTTTTTTTTTTTTAAAGATTTTATTTATTTATTTGACAGAGAGAGAGAGACAACGAGAGCAGGAACACAAGCAAAGGGAGTGGGAGAGGGAGAAGCAGGCTTCCCGCGGAGCAGGGAGCCCGATGCGGGGCTCGATCCCAGAACTCTGGGATGATGACCTGAGCCGAAGGCAGACGCTTTAACGACTGAGCCACCCAGGCGCCCCAGCAATAAGGTTTTTTTAATTAAGGTATATACATTTTTTTTTTTAATACATCATGCCGGGCCACATTTAATAGACTATATAGTAAAACTTAAACATAATTTTTTTTAAGGAAGTAAAACTTTATTGACCACAGTTTACTAGTATTTACAATAAAGTAAACAATATACAGTTGGATAACATTCTGACTGCAACGTTACTGTTTTTCCTGGTTTCTGCTGAACCAGTAACTCAAATACTGAGGAGATTGGGACTACATGTCAGGAATAAGCTGGGGTAGGGACACCTGGGTAGCTCAGTGGTTAAGCATCTGCCCTGGGCTCAGGTCATGATCCTTCAGTCCCTCAGATCGGGCCCCACATCAGGCTCCCTGCTCAGCAGAGGAGTCTGCTTCTCCCTCTCCCTCTGCCCCTTCCCCAGCTGTGTGCGCTCTCTCTCTCACTCTCTCTTTCAAATAAATAAATAAAATCTAAAAAAAAAAAAAAAAAAAGAATAAGTTGGGATAAAAAAAAAACATGCAGGCCAAGAATTCAGATTATAGAAGTCTGTCCACCCATTTATTCTAGCAGGTGCTAAATTGCCAGTATCTCTACCCATTTGATTATGATTAGGTTTCCATGAACAAAGTCTTAGCTATTCCATGAATCATGACCTTTTAGGCAGTATAGCACAGGGATTTCAACTTCTTGAAAAGGAATGGTTCACTAGAAGGAAGCTTAAAATGTCCATTTAAGTTTGTCCATTTAAGTTTTGCTTACCTAATGTCTAGTTTTGTCATTTGAGTGGGGAGGTTGTTGGTGGCGATAAAATTTTCCTTTCAGGGATCTTGCAAATAAACTTGCATTTATATGATTATAGATATGGGTATGTATTCTGATGTGGCTTATTTTAAATTGCCCAATTTAAATTGTTTACATAATATTTTAATTGTCCAATTAATTACAAAACTTGAAAAATTAGGGCTTCAGGAAAAATTTCAATTTAATTTTAAATTATTTCTTTTTTCAAAATTGTTTTATTTTTAAAGATTTTATTTATTTACTTAGCACAGAGGGAGAGGGAGAAGCAGATCTCCCACTGATCAGGGAGCCAGACGCAGGGCTCAATCCCAGGATCATGACCTGAGCCCAAGGCAAACGCTTACCTGACTGAGCCACCCAGGCACCCCTTAAGTATTTTATTTCTTAAGTTACTGAAAATGATAGCATCCCAGAAACACGGGTTTACCCATTGTTATAAAATGCTTCCCATTCACTACACGTCGGTCCAGTACTTTTTCCACCACAAATTCTTCAGACTCTGCCTCTTTTACCTTTTTACTTTTTTCATTCTGTTTCTTTCCCATTTTTTGCAATGTAGTAGTCTTATTTGAGGCCTTTTTTTTTTTATTGCAGACTTGCATAGCTATTATTCACCGCCTCTGAGCTGCTCCAGGTCCCTGGTCTTAAACATCGCTTTTATATGCACTGGAGAAGCAAAAATTCATGTGATTCACGTCATTGTGATAGTCACTTTATTGTGGTGGTGTGGAGCTGAACCAGGAATATCACCATGTTATTTCAGTAACTGTCGTATAGTAAACTGCACATATTTAAAGTTTGTAGTTTGTTGTGCTTGACATATATACAGGTAAAACCATCACCACAATCAAGGTACATTCCCCCAAATGAACATATCCGTATCGCCTAAATTTCCTTTTGCTGTTTTATAATCCCTCTTCCCTCTCTCTTCCAGGCAACCACTCATTTGCTCTCTGTCATGATAGATGTCACTGTAGATAAGTTTGCATTTCCCAGCTTATCTAAAAAGAATTTTACAGTACATGCTGTTTTTTGGTCGGAGTCCTGAGAGTCTGGTTTCTTTTCATGATTGAGAGCCTTCTTTGTTGGAAATATCAGTAGTCATTTTTTTTAATCGCTAGGTAGTATTCTCTTGCTAGATGCCCTGTAATTTGTTTATACATTCACTGGTTGAAG